AAGAAAAAGGAGGAGACCTGAGGAAAGGTGACATTGCAACATTAAGAACTGCCTTCTGAAAAAAAAAAAAAAGAACTGCCTTCTGGATCATGAAAGATCGCTCCATTCCAGCTGCCAGGCCTAGAACCATTGGCATCACAACTCCGGCCAAGGGAGAGTAAGGAAGACAAGATGTCAGGGCTGCCAGCTTGGAGGAGTCTTGTGAGCCAGAAAATTAGGGCCAGAGAGCCAGATAGAATGCCCTGCTAGATGGTATTCCTCATCTCTGCTCTTGTTCCCCACTCAAGAGGCCCTCAAAGTGAAGATGCTTCTGGACCTTTACAAGTCACTCTCTGAAGGACCAACCTCTCTAGCCCATCTGCTGTGTACCCACACTTCCCAGATCTGTACCATCCCTGGATCTGCCTTCCCATTAAAGACACCAAGTTTGGAAAGAGCAGTATGTCAGCCTGATTCTTCCTATGGCAATTACCTATATTTAATTTGGTGTGTGTGCGTGAGCGTGTGTGTGTGTGTGTGTGTGTGTGCGCGCGCGCGCAGATCAGAGGACAACTTCCAAGAATTGGCTCTCCCTTTACCATGTAGGTTTTGGGGATCACACTCAGGTTATCAGACTTGGTGCAAACACTTCACCTGATAAGCCATTATTTATAAATTTTTACTTTTTTTCCAAAGTAATACAGACTCTGGTAAAATATGGACTCGTGTATATTCACATTATATTTACAGAATCAAATTGTGTTATTTATGGTAAGTGACTCCTTGGGGAGGCACGCTTTATATTTGATATCATTTCAGACCTTTTAACCTAAATGCAAAAGTACAGTTTTGCTCTTATGAATAAATTAATTAACTGGGTAGCTCTTTTAACATCCGGCCTTACTTTCCTTATCTGTGAAATGGACATAAAAGGTCTATTCTAGTTTGCTTTCTGCCTAGCAACAGTACTGCCCACAGTGGGCTGAACCCTCTTCCAGATAGTTGGCTGTCAGCTTGAGATGCAGCCTTGGCCTCCCTGGACCACAGCTTCTGTGTGCTGACCCTGAGGAAATACTTCTTGGAGGATTCTGCCTCAGTGATGTGGGTCTCTTCTTAATCACACCTAATTTCTCAGCCCTGTCTAAAAAACATCAATCGTCCAGAAAAACAAAGGTTTTACTTCCACAGATCCTAATCTAAAACATCACATGAACATCCCTGATGAAACTCCAAAAGCCAGGCTCCATTGTCTACATTTCTCTTAGTATTAGCTTATTTTCCAAATTCCCACACACCAGCTGGCTGCAAAGAAGAAGAAGAAGAAGAAGAAGAAGAAGAAGAAGAAGAAGAAGAA